CGCAGTTCTTTTGGTTTTTATGAAGACTTCTCGGAATATACTGAGGCAGTGGACAAGATACAGGCACACAGAGTTCAGTGATGTGTGGTGACGGACAATGAAACAACTAAGAAAATGACATTAAACACACCCATTCATCATGAATGCAGACCTCTGTATTTCTTGCTGGCTTTAGCCTTTAGAGTTTCAGAGGATGGTTAAAAGTCAACCATATTACTAAGAATGTGGAGTTACCCATAAGTTGAGATCGGATAATGGTGCCAGATTTCCTTCACTGAATGATATAACTTAGTGGACTTTCGGCAATATTTGGCAGTTGATCCCTGTTAGTGTTGTTATTTTCTTTAATTCCAGATTTATTTAAATAATTGCATTTAAATTCCTGACCTGCCATGGTGGGATTTGAAATCAAGTTTCTGAATTAACATAAATGCACCATTCCTTTCTAAATCTCAGTTTTAGGATCTGAAGCGCAAAGATATAGCTCATGCATTTGCAACTGTCCTCAGCAGAAATGTTAATTGATGAGCCTATGATGGCCATGTACAAAGATCCTCAGTTTCACAATTGCTAATCTTGACCAATTCAATTCATTCCAAGTGCTGTCACAAACTGGCTGACAGTACTGCATTCAGTAAAGAAAATAATAATGTCCCAGATGTAGGGTTGAAGACTTGCACAATAAAGCTAGACAAGTCTCTAACCAAGCTGTTCCAGTACAGGTGCAATATTAACATCAAACTAAATGTGGAAACTTGCCCAGGTACATATTGTCCACAAAATGTAGGAGTATTTTTCTCCAGTCAATTATCATTCCACTCTCAATCACCAAAGTTATGGAAAGTACTACTGACAGAGCTATATTCTGGTACTTAATAACATGCGCATTGATACCTAGTTTAGCTTCAGCCAGACCACTCAGCTCTGGTCCTAATAATAATTTTACTAATCAAAAGATTAGAATTCTGTGGTTGACATCAGTAGACATCAAAGCATTTGACTGAGCATGGGATCAAAGTACCCCAGCAAAATTGAAGTCAATAGAATCAGAGGGAAACATGATACTCACTGTACGCATACACAGCACAACATAAAACAGTTGTGGTTGTGGGAGACAAATCATTTCTGCCCAATACATTGCTCGTTGTTCTTCAGGACTGCGCCCGAGATACAACCATCTTAAACGTCCTCATCAATGAGCTTCCTTCCACCAAAAGCTCAGAAGTATGGATGTGAGTTGATTATTGCAGCGCTGGATTTCTTTTGCCACTCCATAATAATGAAGCAGTCCTTGCCAAGATATGCACAATATTCTCACGAGCTGGTAAGTGGTGAGCAAGATTTTCATCACACGGGTATCAGACAATAACAATTTCCAAATGACAGTCTAACCACTTCCTTAACATTAAAAATTACCAACATCAAATTCTACATATTATCCTAATCAATACTGATCAGAAACTGAACCAAACTAATTGTATAAATTCTGTAGCTTCAAAAGCAGGCCAGAAGCTAATATTCTGCAAAGAACTTAACTGAGTTCCTCAAAGCAAGGCACAGGTCAGTCATATGATGGAATAATTTCCATTTGTCTGGATAAGTGCAGTTACATCAACACTCAAGTAGTCTGACACTGCCCTGGGTAAAGAAACCCACTTGACTGGCATCCCATCCACTAACTTGGTCACACTTCCACCAATGCCACTCCATGGCTACATTACTTACCATTTACAAGATGCATTACAGCTATTTGGGAAGGGTTTGTCAACAATACCTTCCAAACCCATCACTTTTGCCATCTACATGAACAACAGCAGTGAGCATATTTGAACACCAGAACTCAAAAGTTTCCCATGTCACACACCATCTCAACTTGGAGCTATATTACCAATCCTTCGCCGTTATTCGATCAAAATTCTGAAAATCTCCACCAAACAGCAATTTGTGTGTACCTGAACCAGAAGGACTACAGAGTTTCAAGAATATCACCACCTTCGGAAAAAGTAATTCAGGCTGGGCCAGCCTTGTCAGGGGCAACTACTTGTCATGAATGAATACAAAATGGAAGCTCAAAAGATGTATTACCTTATTCTTTCTGTTGTCGTTGTATTTAATGAGGTCCAAAATAAAGGCCAATACTTCCTTGGGACACTGGTTATGGATATCCCGCAGCAAAGCCATAGCAACAGGCATTGTCTGTGAACATGTGATATGCGTTGGTTAATTTCCTTAAGTGTATATTTTTCTAAAATGTGACAAACAAGAAGTTTTTGAAAACACCTTAATGCTCTAGTAATGAATAATTCACAGCAATTTCATATTTTAATATAGTGAACCATTAGCATGCTAAGAAAAATGTATATAACATTTGTTCCAAGACTGCTAAATTTACGTTACAGTCTGGATAGGGACCAGTAAATTTTCTTTTTGCTTAAAGTCAAAGTTTGACATGCTGGATACTTAACGAAAAGAAGAAAGTCTCAAGATTCCATGGGTTTGAACCAACAAATTAAACTACTATACAAATTTAGAACAGTAAAATAACCTATAACAGACACACAACTTGTACTCTAACATCCAGAATTAATACAAAGTAAATATGTTTAACAGTGATCAAACACCCCAGTAATGCAGTCAGGCCAGATCCCACAGATTTGTTAGCAACTCATTTAGACAACAGTAAAACTATGGGTCACCAAAATTTATTCAGATGTTGTCTCCTTCGTCTGAAATTGCAATTCTTCATTTCCAAAGATCTAACTTTAAAATTCACTCAAAAATCATTACATCACAGACTGCCTCAATGACTGCTGAGATCCTAGTTCTTCCAACCCCTTCCCTAAAACTGGATTTCTAAAACTGTACTCCAGCCATCCTTCATGGGCATAATTCTAACCGTTTCACAAGCAGCTAACTTCACTAATTGACACTATTGCTGGGTTTCTTCAAGCTCCAACACTTTTCAGCTGCACCGAACAACACTGCTTATGAGCTCCTTTCACCCTCACACACACTGGACTATCAATGGATCCCAGGGGCTTTTCCTCTCAATGTCCTGGACTGCTGGCATAGCTTTTCCTGACTCTTACCATCACCCCAAGTTGCACCTCCTGACTCTCAGGGCTTCTGAGAACTCTTTTTGCAGGGAACCTGCTACAGCAGCATCTTTACAGTATGGAACCTCTTCCCGTACTCCTCTCCACCTAACTGCTTCAGATTACTGATCAGTCATCTGCTGCTTCAATTACTTGTAACTAATTGACTAAAAGCCAACTGTTCAGTGACCCTTGAATTATCAAGTGACTTACTCAACCTAAGCGGAATCAAATGTCACGACTATTCAAATATCCTGTGTTGCAATGTTCACATGCTGCCAGGCTACACAGCACAAACAATTACAAAAAAATATGTTCATCACATACCGAGTGATTCCAACTGCCTGGGTTCAATCCCCATAATGGCTAAGATCACCTTGAAAGCCTGCTGTGTGGTAAGGCCCAGGTTAAACTCACTACCAGTTGTCTCTCTCTCTAATCAAAGGGAAGCTTATTGACTATGGAAATGTCAGGGAAGCTGGTTTATGGATAATGTGATAAATCCAGACACAACTTTGCTATTCAAATAGGGTGAAGATCCCAAGACCCTATTTGAAGTGTCAGGTCGCTCTGGATTTTGACCACCACTAATTCTTTATGCAACATCAAAGCAAGTTATCTAGTTCTGACTTGAAAGAAATCTGATTGTGCAACTTGGATGCCTATTTGCCTTGAAAAGAGCAACTACACTTCCAAAGTAATTATATGGCTGCAGAGCTGAGGATGTGATAAGTGCTAATCACATGACTTTTTTTCTAGTTTGGCAGGGAGAGGAGTAATAAGAGTAAATTCAGTTGGGACAAATATAAATGCAAGGCAGAAAATTAGTGGACAAGTCTGAAAGGCAAATGAAATAAATGCTTGAGAATAAGAAAATTTGGCAGTGCTGAAGTATATCTCTTTTTTCCCATTCATTTGTGGGAGGTGGGCGTCACTGGCTAGCCAGCATTTTTTGCCCATCCCTAGCTGCCCTTGAAAAGGTGGTAGTGAGCTGTCTTCTTGAACCACTGCAGTCCTCGTGCTGTGGTTGACCCACAATGCTATTAGGAAGGGAATTCCAGGGTTTTGACCCAGCGACAGTGAAGGAATGGCGATATATTTCCAAATCAGGATGGTGAGTGACTTGGAGGAGAACTTGGAGGTGGTGATGTTCCCATATGTCTGAGGATCTTTGGTGAATTTCTGCAGTGCATCTTGTAGATAGTACACATTGTTGCTACTGAGCGTTGGTGGTGGAGGGAGTGAATGCTTGTGGATGTAATGCCAATCAAGCGGGCTGCTTTGTCCTGGATGGTGTCAAGCTGCTGGAGTGTTGTTGGGGCTGCACTCATCCAGGCAAGTGGGGACCTATTCCATCACACTCCTGACTTGTGCCTTGTAGATGGTGGTCAGGCTTTGGGGAGTCAGGGGGTGAGTTACTTGCCGCAGTATTCCCAGCTTCTGGCTTGCACTTGCAGCCACAGAGTTTATGTGGTGAGTCCAGTTGAATTTCAGGTCAATAGTAACCCTCAGGGTGTTGATAGTGGGGGATTCAGTGATGGTAACACCATTGAACGTCAAGGGACGGTGGTTAGATTGTCTCTTATTGGTAATGGTCATAGCCTGGCATTTGTGGGGCGCGAATGTCACTTGCCACTTGTCAGCCCAAGCCTGGATATTGTCCAGATCTTGTTGCATGTGAACATGGTCTTTTTCAGTATCTGAGGAGTCACGATTGGTGCTGAACATTGCGCAATCGTCGGCAAACACCCCCACTTCTGACCTAATGATGGAGGGAAGGTCATTGATGAAGCAGCTGAAGATGATTGAGCCTAGGACACTACCTGAGGAACTCCTGCAGAGATGTCCTGGAGCTGAGATGAAGGACCTCCCACAACCACGACCATCTTCCTATGTGTCAGGTATGACTTCAACCACCGGAGCAGTTGCCCCCTGATACCCACTGATTCCAGTTTTGCTAGGGCTCCTTGATGCCACACTCGGTCAAATGCAGCTTCATATCAAGGGCTGTCACTCTCACCTCATCTTTGGAATTCCGCTCTTTTGTTCATGTTTGAACCAAGGCTGTAATGAGATCAGGAGCTGAGTGGCCCTGGCAGAATCCAAACTGGGCGTCACCGAGCAGGTTATTTCTGAGCAGGTGCTGCTTGATAGCACGTTTATGACACCTTCCATCCCTTTTCTGATGACCGAGAGTAGACTGATGGGGCAGTAATTGGCCAGGTTGGATTTGTCCTGCTTTGTGTGTACAGGAAATACTTAGGCAATTTTCCACATTCTTGGGTGGGTACCAGTGTTGTAACTGTACTGGAACAGCTTGGCTAGGGGAGTGGCAAGTTCTGGAGCACAAGTCTTCAGTACTATTGCCGGAATGTTGTCAGGGCCCATAGCCTTTGCAGTATCCAGTGTCTCCAACCGTTTCTTGAAATCAATTTCTTGAATCGAATTGGCTGAAGGCTGGTATCTGTAATACTGGGGACCAATGGAGGAGGCCGAAATGGATCATCCACTCTGCACGTCTGGCCGAAGATTGCTGCGAATGCTTCAGCCTTATCTTTCGCACTGATGTGGTGGGCTCTTCCATCTTTGAAGATGGGGATATTTGTGGAGCCTCCTCCTCTAGTGAGTTGTTTAATTGTCCATCACCATTCACGACTGGATGTGGCAGGACTGCACAGCTTAAGTCTGATCCGTTGGTTGTGGGATCGCTTAGCTCTGTCTATCACTTGCTGCGTTCGCCGTTTGGTGTGCAAGTAGTGCTGTTTGGTGGTTTCACCAAGTTGTTGCCTCATCTTCAGGTATGCCTGGTGCTGCTCCTGGCATGCCCTCCTGCACTATACATTGAACCAGGATTGATCCCCTGGCTTGATGGTAATGGCTAAGTGGGGGATATATCAGGCCATGAGGTTACAGATTGCGCTGGAGTACAATTCTGCTGTTGATGGGCCATAGTGCCTCATGAATGCCGAGTCTTGAGTTGCTAGATCCGTGCGAAGTCTGCCCCATTTAGCACGTGATAATGCCACATGACACGATGAAGGTTCCTCTCAATGTGAAGGCGGGACTTCGTCTCCACAAGGACTGTGCAATAGTCACTCTTACCGATACAGTCATTGACAGGTGCAACTGCAGCTGGCAGATTAGTAAGGATGAGGTCAAGTATGTTTTTCCCTCTTGTTGGTTCCCTCACCACCTGCCGCAGACCCAGTCTAGCAGCTATGTCCTTTAGGACCCAACCAGCTTGATCAGTGGTACTGCTGCTGAGCCACTCTTGGTGGTGGACATTGAAATCCCCCACCCCGAGTACATTTTGTGCCCTTGCCATCCTCAATGCTTCCTCAGTGTTGTTCAACATTGAGGAATACTGATTCACCTGCTGAGGGAGGACAGTATGTGGTAATCAGCAGGAGGTTTCCTTGCCCATGTTTAACCTGAAGCCATGAGACTTCATGGGGTCCGGAGTCAATGTTGAGGACTCCCAGAGAAACACCCTCCCGACTGTATACCACTGTGCCACCCCCTCTGCTGGGTCTGTCCTGCTGGTGAGACAGGACATATCCAAGAATGGTGATGGTGACGTCTGGGACATTGTCTGTAAGGTATGATTCTGTGAGTATGACTATGTCAGGATATTGCTTCACTAGTCTGAGACAACTCGCCCAATTTTGGTACTAGCCCCCAGATGATAGTGAGGAGGACTTTGCACGGTCGACAGGGTTGTTTCTGGTGCCTAGGTCGATGCCAGGTGATCCGTCAAGTTTCATTTTATTGAGTCTTTGTAGCGATTAGTACATCTGAGTGGCTTGCATTTCAGAGGGCAGTTGAGAGTCAACCACATTGCTGTGGGTCTGGAGTCACATGCAGACCAGACCAGGCGAGGGTGGCAGATTTCCTCCCCTGAAGGACATTAGTGAACTAGATGGGTTTTTCTGACAATCGGCAACGATTGCGTGGTGATCAGTAGATTCTTAATTCCAGACTTTTGTTTCGAATTCCAATTCCACCATCTGCCGAACCCGGGTCCCCAGAACATCAGCTGGGTTTCTGGATTAATAGTCTAGCGATAGTACCACTTGGCCATCGCCTACCCATCTACTTCAAGACAAAGACTAAATAAAGCAGACAAGTTGAAGGCGCAGATACAAACATGCTAGTATGATATCATGCTATTGCTTAAACAATGGAAGGCCACGAATGGTGGCACAAAAGGCCTGGTAATTCAATTTTCATATTATGTGGCGAGGAGATTTTAAAAATAATAAGTGGGTGTCAATTTCAAAGAGACAATCACAACTCTGAGGAGGGATGATAATATTATAAAGTTCATTAAATCAGGACAGATGGATTACGGTAATGAACAAAAAGGGTGGAAGGAAAGGCATTTTGGTGGTCATGATCATAACATAATTTTAATAATTACAGAAAGTGTGTTAAGTGTGTTAAGCTGGGGGAGGGCCAATTAAACTAAGCTGGAGTGATTTAACAAAATTGGACCATGAACAGCAACTTTGAACACAGATCAGTGGCACAGCAGTGGGAGGCATTCACAGGGCAGGTTCAGAGTAAACATGTTTCCACAAAGGAAAATAGTGTAATAATCAAATCTAGTGCCCCTTAGATGTCAAGGACCTTACAAGACAAGGTAGAAAGGAAAAGCTCAAGTCCAACATCAAGAAATCAACACTACAAAAAGCAAGAGTGTAAAAAGTGAAGGCCAGAATTTGAAAAGGAAATTAGGAAAGCAAAGAGAGAAAGCGAAAATATTAGCAAGCAAAATCAAGGTGAACCTAAAGAAGTCTTATCAATACATCAGGAATGAGGAAAACTAAGGACAGCAACGCCAATAACAGACGATAGGCGTAACCGATATGTAGAGGCTAAAGATGTTGATATAGTTCTTAACGAAAACTTTGCATGATTTCACAAGGATGGATGCGCAGATGTTGCAGTTAAGGAGGAGTGAGGAATAATGGGTGAGATGCATGAAAGGAGAGAGGAAGTATTACTGGGATTAGCATCCTTAAAAACGGATAAATCACAAAGCAGGGCCAAATAGATCAAAATCAGTTAAAAGAACCTGGGGGTAAATGCTGTAAAGTCTGATTATCAGTTCCCGAACCTCATTGTACACAGGTGTCGTGCTGGAAATTGAAGAATTGCTAATGCTGTCCCTCTGTTTAAAAAGGGAGCAAAAAATAGATTGAATAATTACAGGCCAGTTAGGCTAACTTCACTGTCAGCAAATTATTGGAAGCAATTCTGAAAGACAGGATTAACTGTCAAAAACCAGAGATTAAACAAATGTAGTCAGCATAGATTTATTCAGGAAGGATCCTTCCTGACTAACTTGTTTTAAATATTTTTCAGGATGCAACAAGGAGGATTGATGAGGGTAATGCAGTTTATATGGTCCGCATGGATGCATTATATCACCTGTATTTGTGGTATATGCTAACGATTTGAAAGTATATGTGGGATGTATAATTAAGAAGCTTGCAGAAGATGGAAAAATTGGCTGCATGGTTGTTATTGAGGAGGGAGACTGCAAACTGCAGAAAAATAATCAACGGCCAGATCAGGTGGGCAGCTAAGGGACAAATAGAAATCAACCCAGAAAAGTGAGGGGGAAATCCACTTGGGGTGGTCAAGAAAGGCAAAAGAAATACATAATTAATGACAGAATGCTGAGTGGTGCACAGGAAATGAAGTGAATGACTGCAGATCCCTGAAAAAACAGCAGGATAGGTCAATGAGGTGTTAAGGAAGTTGTATGAAGTTAGCTGAAGTATAGATTGTAAGAGCAGGGAGGTTATGTTGGAACTGTATAAATCATTAGACTACAATCCGAAGACTGTGTGGAGTTCTGGTCACCTCAATACAGAAAGCACTATAGGGAGGGTGCAGAGATTTATGAAGATGTGGCCAAGAAAGTGGAACTATGGCAAAAAGATTGGAAACTCTGGATTGTTCTGCTTGGAACAGCAGGTGGCGGGAGGGGGTGGATTTATTGAGATTTACAATATTACGAAGGATCTGGATAAGGTGGATGGGAAGGCTCTACTTCCTTAGCAGTGGCCAGTGAGCTTAGGTGTAAAAAGTGATTGCTAGAAAGATTAAAGAGCTGAAGGAAAAGGTTTTCATCCAAAAGGTGAGAGGGCAATAGAGGTAGAAACCCTTAAGTCATTTGCACAAGTGTTGTAACCTGCAGGCTCTGGACTAAGGGCTGGAAGGTGAGATTCGGCTCAGAGGCTTGTTTTTCATCAAGCACAAACATGATAGATCATGTACCCTTTTCGGCATTGCAAACTTTCTATTTTATGAAAATCATTATGCTACTCCTTCTAGAGCTGATTTTGACCAGATTTTGCAGGATAGACGATTGCCAGTCAGAATGATACATGACAGACAAAGAAGTAAATTATTTCAAAAGTGCAGTTTCCAAGCACAATACAAAGTTCTTTTTTATTACTTGTTCAGGTATCACTGGCTAGGCTATCATTTGTCGTCAATTTGACTGCGGTGAGCTACCTTCTTGAACCGCTGTAGTCCTTGGAGAGTAGGGAATACCACAGAACTATTAGAAAGGGAGTTCAAGGATTTTGGCCCAGTGATAGTGAAGAAGTGTGGCTTGGAGGAGAACTTGCAGGTGGTGGCGTTTCCATGCATCTGCATCCTTCGTTCTTCAAAACCTGTGACCCCTCCTACCTACAAAGGTTCTAAGAGGAGACTCGTAGTGTATTATTTGTAGATGGTACACCCTGCTGCCATTGTGCATTGGCAGTGAAGGAAGTGAAGGTTGAAGGTGGGGTTGAGGTGCCCATCAAGCAGGCAGCTTTTTCCTGGATGATGTCAAGCTTTTTGAGCATTGTTGGAGCTACACTCATCCAGGCAAGTGGATTTTTCCATCATACTGCTGACCTGTGCATTGTAGATGGTGGTCAGGCATTGGGAAAACAGGAGTTGTGACACTTGGTTCAGAACTTCTGACTTTTGATGCCGCAATATTTTATACAACTGGTTGAGTTCAGTTTCTGGATCAGTGTTGCATTCAAAATGAAACAAGCATCATTGTAAAAGGTATTATAACTGCGAATTCAAGATAGAATTTGGCAGACAGAAAGAATGATTTCACCAAAGAAAGTTAATAGTGGTGTTTTATGTAATGAAAGTTATCTCCGCTAACATTTCATTAATACAAGTAGACTAATTTCTTCTACAATAGCAGCAGTACCATGAAAACGTTACCTTCTGTAGAAAATAACTTTGAAAATTCATGAAATTGTTGGTCTTAACAATATTTGAACAACTCTTGCAGCAGAACATTCGTGTAAAGAGTGACTTCATGGCTGGAGGACCTGTCCAAGTATTCACCATGGCATTTGCAATCTGAAGGAAGAATTTCAGACAACACACAAAGATTTAAACTACTGCCTAATGAGAATGCCCACATTTCAATATCTAAATGAACAATGATTTCCACTGCTGGACACCAGACCGACTGACCAAACACAGTATTTGTTTGAGGCTGAATTCTATGTTTTAGACGGCCACTGCTTTGATGTACTAGTTGAGCAGACCTGTGGATTAATCTAACCATTCCAGTTCTGCAAGATACTAAAGATCAAAATCGGAGATTAATCACACATTAAGCTGTGTTGCCACCTATGCCTTCAAAGAGTAAAGTTACCGATATACTGCTTGATGCCTGATTCAGACAAATTCCCAAATATCATAAAAGGGGCTAGATAGTGAAGTACAATGTGGTCTACTTCTCATCAGGTAGAAATTCTCACAAAGTGGGTAAATTCATCCTAACAGGGTCAGTAAAACACTGAAAAAAATCAGACTAATATAAACCTCTCTCAATAAAGCAACTAAATGGAATAAAATAATATACTGCAGATGCATTATCAAACAAAATTTCAAAGCAAATCACGTAAGGAGAAGGTGCAGAGCTGGATGAACACAGCAGGCCAAGCAGCATCATAGGAGCAGAAAGGCTGACGTTTCGGGCCTACACCCTTCTTCAGAAATGGGAGAGGGGAAGGGGGTTCTGAAATAAATAGGGAGAGAGGGGGAGTTGGATAGAAGATGGATAGAGGAGAGGATAGGTGGAAAGGAAAGAGACAGGTCGAAGAAGCGGGGATGGAGCCAGTAAACGTGAGTGTAGGTGGGGAGTTAGGGAAGGGATAGGTCAGTCCACGGAGGACGGACAGGTCAAGGGGGCGGGATGAGGTTAGTAGGTAGGAGATAGGGGTGCGGCTTGAGGTGGGAGGAGGGGATAGGCGGGAGGAAGAACAGGTTAGGGAGGCGGGGACGAGCTGGGCTGGTTTTGGGATGCGGTAGGGGGAGGGGAGATTTTGAAGCTTGTGAAATCCACATTGATACCATTGGGCTGCAGGGTTCCCAAGCGGAATAGGAGTTGCTGTTCCTGCAACCTTCGGGTGGCATCGTTGTGGCACTGCAGGAAGCCCAGGATGGACATGTCGTCTGAGGAGTGGGAGGGGGAGATGAAATGGTTCGCGACAGGGAGGTGCAGTCGTTTATTGCGAACCGAGCGTAGGTGTTCTGCAAAGCGGTCCCCAAGCCTCCGCTTGGTTTCCCCGATGTAGAGGAGGCCACAACGGGTACAGCGGATGCAGTATACCACATTGGCAGATGTGCAGGTGAACATCTGCTTGATGCGGAAAGTCTTCTTGGGGCCTGGGATAGGGGTGAGGGAGGAGGTATGGGGGCAGGTGTAGCACTTCCTGTGATTGCAGGGAAAAGTGCCGCGTGTGGTGGGGCTGGAGGGGAGTGTGAAGCGGACAAGGGAGTCACGGAGAGAGTGGTCCCTCCGGAAAGCAGATAAGGGTGGGGAGGGAAAGATGTCTTTGGTGGTGGGATCGGATTGCAGATGGCGGAAGTGTCGGAGGATGACGCGTTGGATCCGGAGGTTGGTGCGGTGGTACGTGAGGATGAGGGGGATTCTTTTTTGGTTGTTATTGTGGGGACGGGGTGTGAGGGATGAGTTGCGGGAAATGTGGGAGACACGGTTGAGGGCGTTCTCGACCACTGGGGGCGGGGAAAGTTGCAGTCCTTGAAAAACGAGGACAACTGAGATGTACGGGAGTGGAACGCCTCATCCTGGGAGCAGATGTGGCGGAGGCGAAGGAATTGAGAATAGGGAATGGCATTTTTGCAGGAAGGTGGGTGGGAGGAGGTGTATTCTAGGTAGCTGTGGGAGTCGGTGGGCTTGAAATGGATATCGGTTTCTAGGTGGACGCCCGAGATGGAGACAGAGAGGTCCAGGAAGGAGAGAGAGGTATTAGAGATGGTCCAGGTGAACTTAAGGTTGGGGTGGAAGGTGTTGGTGAAGTGGATGAACTGTTCGAGCTCCTTGTGGGAGCACGAGGCGGCGCCGATACAGTCATCAATGTGACGGAGGAAGAGGTGGGGTTCAGGGCCAGTGTAGGTACGGAAGAGGGATTGTTCCACGTAACCTACAAAGAGGCTATCACAACTCTGCCCACAGCCGACGCCAACGTCGCTTCGCCCACAGCCTCCACAGCCAGCAGCTCCAGAGGGTACAATAGCACCCAGCCCTGCCGAGTCTTCACCATCCCCCCAGACCTCCCCCTTACCGAGGACGAACGGTCAGTCCTCAGTAAAGGGCTTACTTTTGTCCCCCTCCACTCACACATCAACGAATACCGCTCACGTTTGGACATAGAGCAGTTTTTCCGCCACCTCCGCCTCCACGCTTACTACTTCAACCGTGAACCTAACCCTCCCTCTACTGACCCCTTCTGCCGCCTCCAACACACCCCCTCCTCCTGGACACCACCCCAAGACCTCCTACCCTCCTTTGACCTCTTCATCTCCAACTGCCGTCGAGACATCAATCGCCTCAACCTCTCCACCCCTCTCACCCACTCCAACCTCTCCCCCGCAGAACGTGCAGCCCTCCGCTCCAATCCCAACCTCACCATAAAACCCGTGGACAAGGGAGGCGCAGTTGTAGTATGGCGCACTGACCTCTACATCACCAAGGCCAGACGCCAACTCTCTGACACCTCCTCCTACCGCCCCCTTGATCATGACCCCACCCCTGAGCACCAAACCATCATCTC